GAGGAGATTTTGAAAAAGCGTATTTTTTGGAAAACAAAAAATAAATTTGGCACTTGAAATTTTCTGCGTTTTTCAAATGCCAATTAAAAGTGAAATGCTTGGCTGAATGCGGCCGAAAAATTCGATTGGTTTGTTAGTTTCGTTAGACAGCGTCAGAGTCTGAGTTGGACAACAACTACAGACAGTTGGACATTTGGGTTGTAAACAAACCAAAGGGAGGGCATCTCAAGAGAGTTGGGAGATATGAAATTTGGGAGAGGGGGAAAATGTTTAAAATAAATAATTTTTTGATTATTTTCGACTATTTTAATTACCTTGAAAATAATTTGACTTCATCCAGTTAGAGGTCAGATCATATCTCAATCTTGAACTGGATGAAAATAAAAAAAAAAAAAAATTTTTTTTTCAATTCAATTTAAAATTGCTCTAATTTTCGAATTTAAAAATTTAATCAAAAATGTTGAGTTTAATCAAAGCCCTTTTAAGCAATCTCACATCATTCTCTACCAAAACACAATTATCCTCGGGCAATCTGAATTTTTTCTTGTTTCCCCTACACAACACCCCCTCCACCCCCAAATTCACCACATTTCTTACCATAAATTCCAACACCCTTAGCAATTAAATGATGTGTTGAAAATTCCCTAGCAATGTTGCCAAGAGTTAATTAATAATCAACTTTTGTTTAGATTTGTAATTTTTGCTTCTTCCCAGCAAAAGGGAAAGGAGAGGGAGGAGGGTGAATTCAGGCACATGTTGTATTCCCTCTTGAACAACCCACAAAGGAGTCCTTGAAACAGGGAAAAACATCATTTAAGTAAATATTTTCCTTTTTTTAAATAATCAACAATAAATTCCATTACAAGTGTAAGAGGGAGGCAGCCCCGAAAGAAATCTGAAAAAGTTTCCGTAACGAAATTTTGTAATTTTAAGGTTAAACACAAGGACACCGATGCAGAACGAAGCCTTTGAGGTTCGAGGAAGAAAGTTAATTAGAATTCTCTTTGCAAGGAAATAAATTTGAGGTTTATTTTGTTATGATTTTGATTTAATTAATGGAATTTGTAGGGATTCGAGTTGGTGTTTTTTTTTTTTTTTTTTTTTTTTTTTTTTGATTAGGTGCGGTACAATAAAAGTGTATGTTTTTTTATAAATGAAAAAAAAATTGAATTTAAAAAACAACACTTGAACAACACATTATTGAATTTGTAATAAAAATTAAATTAAAAATATTTTTTTTTAAATAAATTTTTCATTTTTTTTTTTAATTTTTATTGTTTTATTCTTAAGTGTGAATATCTAATAAAATAATATTTAAAAACTTGAAACTAGGAAAGTAAGTTTGTTATATGAAGGTACTTTTGAATATGGAAATGGGTACTGGAAGCATACGAAAAGTACTAAATAGTACAAAATTTGGTACAATTTGGTATTGGGTAAATAGATAGTGCTCTGAAATCTGAAATTTGATTTTAGGGTTGTTCTTCGTGTGTAGCCTGGGCATATAGAGATAGTTTTGAAAATGTGTACTAGATTTGTATGAAAAGTACTAAATGGTACTATATTTGGTATTGAGTGAAGGGATAGAGATAAAGTTCTGAATGTATATATTAAGTTCACTGATAGGTTCTCTGTTTGAAATTTTGCAGTGGTTTGGAAATGCGTCCTATATGTGTACTGGGTAAAGGTATTGAGCTGAAATCCTCAAATTTGTTATTATAATGTGCCTGAGGTCGGGAAAAGTAGTTGGTTATGAAAATGCGTACTATAATTGTACTAAATGGTACAATATTTGGTATTGGGTGAATAAGTAATAAGTAAAAAATTAAAAAAAAAATAATTAAAAAAAATATATTAAAAAAATTCTCGGATGATTTATAAAAAAGTATTTTGGCAATATTCCGAATGCGATGAAATACCATCGATACCAACAAATAAATATTTTTCTCAAACCCATCGTTTGATGATAGTTAAATATTTTTTTTTTTCAAATCCAAAATGAATGATCCTTTGAGAAATCTTTTTTAATATCCCAATCTGATGGTCCTTTCAAAAATATTTTTTTTTTAAAATATCCAGGTCTGATGAATTTTTGAATTTTTTTTTTTTTTTTTTTGAATATTCATGTCTGATGATCCTTTGAAAAATATATATTTTTTTAAATATACATATCTGTTGATCCAGTGAAAAATATTTTTTTGAATGTCCAGGTCTGATGAATCATTGAAAAATATTTTTTTTTAACATCCATGTCTAATGATCCTTTGAAAAATATAAATTTTTTAAATATCCAGGTCTGATGATCCATTAAAAAATATTTCTTTAAGTATTCTTTGAAAATTATTTTTTTTAATTATTTACGTCTAATGATTCTTGGAAAAATATTATTTTTTAAACCCACATCTGATAATCCTTTAAAAATATTTTTTTTAATATCCACATCTGATGATCCTTTTGAAAAATATTTTTTTATTTAAATATCCATATCTGATGATCTTTTGAAAAATATGTCTTCAAATATCTACGTCTGATGATCCTTTGAAAATATTTTTTTTTTAAATTTTATATATATACATATATATATATATTTAAATTTAAAAAAAAAAATATTTTCAAATGATCATCAGACGTGGATATTTGAAGACATATTTTTCAAAAGATCTTCAGATATGGATATTTAAATAAAAATATTTTTTATTTAAATATCCATATCTGAAGATCTTTTGAAAAATATGTCTTCGAATATCCACGTCTGATGATCCTTTGAAAAATAGTATTTTTTAATATCCACGTCTGATGATCCTTCAAAAAATATTCCTTTAAGTATTCTTTGAAAAAATTATTTTTTTATTTATCCACGTCTGATGATCCTTTGAAAAATATTATTTTTTAAACCCACATCTGATGATGCTTTGAAAATATTTTTTTTTTAAATATCCAGGTTTGATAAACCTTTAAAAAATTGTTTTTAGATATCTACGTCTGATGATCCTATATATATATTTTTTAATATGCAGGTGATGATTTTTTTTGAAAAATATTTTTTTTATTATCCAGGTCAGGTGATCCTTTGAAAAATATTTTTTAAATATTCTCATCTGATGATCTTTGAAAAATATTTTTTTAAATATGCAGGTCTCATGATCCTTTTGAAACATGTTTTTCTTAATATCCAGGTTTGATGATCCGTTAAAAAATTTTTTTTTTAAATATCTACGTCTGATGATCCTATGAAAAATATTTTTTTAATATCCATATCTGATGATCCTTTGAAAAATATTTCTTTGAATATCCACGTTTTATGATCCTTTAAAAAATATTTCTTTAAATATTCACGTCTGATGATCCTTTTGAAAAATATTTTTTTTAATATCCACATCAGATGATCCTTCGAAATAATTTTTTTTTTGAATATCCAGGTCTAATGATCCTCTGATAAATATTTTTTAAATATCCACGTCTGATGATCCTATTTTTTTTTAATTTCCATGTCTGATGATTCTTTACAAAGTATATATTTTTTATATATCCTCGTCTGATGATCCTTTGAATTTTTTTTTTAAATATGCATTTTTCATTATCCTTTTGAAAAATGTTTTTTTTAATATACAGGTTTGATAATCCGTTAAAAAATATACTCTTTTTAAATATCCATAACTGATGATCCTTTTGAAAAATATTTTTTTAAATATTCAGTTCTGATGACCCTTTGAAAAATATTTCTTTAAGTATTCTTTGAAAAATATATTTTAATTATCCACGTCTAACGATACTTTGAAAAATATTTTATTTTAAGCCCACATCTGATGATCCTTCGAAAAATATTTTTTTTAAATATCCAGGTCTGATAATCCTTTGAAAAAAAATATATTTTTTAATGAAGATATTTTTTTTTTTGATGATCCTTTGAAAAATATTTTTATAAATATCCACGTCTGATGATCCTTTAAAAAAATATATATTTTTTAAATCCACGTCGGAGGATCTTTCCCAAAATTTTTTTAAGAATCCAAATCTGAAATTTTATCCCAAAAATATTTTTTAGGAAGTCCACGTCCATATTTTATAATAATTATTAAAAGCTTACATGTGTTTTGTTTAAAGATAGTGGTTAAAATTTTGTTTTTAAGTTCTAAATTCTAAGGGTTCTTAAAAATACATATTTCAAAAATTTTTTCCTCTAAAAAATATCCTTAAAATTATCCTTATTGCCATTTATAAAATTAAATACTAATTCCTTTTGTCTTTGTCCATTTCGTCCTTACAGATCTCTACCACACCACATGCCATAGAAAAGTGTCCCCATTGAAGGAAACCACTACTAAATCTCCCACAATTAACAATAACCAGCAATGAAAAGACAAGGAACACAACAACAGCAAAATTCAAATTAGACAGGAATCCAGGCGGTAAAAACAATTAACATCAACAACAAGAATAACAGCAACAACAATAAACTTAATAACAATAATAATAATAACAATAACAATCATAACGACAGAACACCGTCAGACCGGCTGGGGGTTTTCTGAGCTACAAAATCTCAGTTCAGGATTAAGAAAAGAAATCAGTTTGAGTGCACAACAACAAGGAAAACAACTACAACACTCTGAAAAATAATAAGACTTAGGGCAACAGGATAATAAAAAAAAAAAAAAACAGAGGGCCAAGAGGACAACAGCTACCAGCTGAACAACAATAACCTTAATAACAACAATAAAGATTACACCAACAACGGCAGAAAAGGAGAATAAAAATAAGACCTTAAGCTTGGCCTGAGGTGGCCATAGAGAAAGGGCACAGAAATCAACAATGCTGGCAAGACTTTCTGTGTAGCCAAAAGGATTTCAAAGGAGAAAACGGAAAATAACAACAAAAGGAGGTCACTGACCCTAAAAAAAGAGGGGAAATATTGCAGCTGGGTTTTTTTAAATAAAATATTTGGAAATAGCTTGAATATTCCGAAAATGATAACATAATGCCGGTGGTAAGGATCACAAGGATTTGAAAAGGAAAACTTAAGGACATCATATTTTCCAAAATTTACAAAACAAAGAGTGATTAACAAATTGTAGTCCCTTCTCTTCGAAGCCCATCCCACCCTTGTACGCATCATGCCAAATATCTCAGTGACCACCCCCGCCTCCCTGATGGCCGCCGCCACCTGGTCAGCCATGGTGGCCCAAAAACCCAATGTCTCCGATATGGCATATCACAGCTATAACCACACAACGTTGATGCACCACGAACCGGGTCATCACCATCCGGTGCTAGATCTAATGCCGGCGAGCCATACCACCACCTCCGAACCAGCCATCCAGGCACCCCGAGAACGTGATGACCTCATAGAAAATAATTTCGTGCAGATATTCTTCTGCATCCTCTACACAACCGTCTTCATTTTGGGGGTCTTTGGCAATGTCCTGGTCTGCTATGTGGTGCTGCGAAATCGAGCCATGCAAACGGTCACGAATATCTTCATCACGAATTTGGCTTTGTCCGATATTTTGTTGTGCATCCTGGCTGTGCCTTTTACACCGCTCTACACCTTCATGGGCAGGTGGGCCTTTGGCCGAACGCTATGCCACCTGGTCTCCTTCGCCCAGGGTTGCAGCATCTATATCTCCACACTCACCCTGACCTCCATTGCCATTGACCGGTATTTTGTCATCATCTATCCGTTTCATCCGCGCATGAAAATGTCCACCTGCATAGCCATTGTGATAAGTATCTGGGTCATATCGCTGCTGGCCACCCTACCCTATGGCATGTACGTGAAGGTGGTCAATGACTATGGCAATATGACGGAGGAGGGAATGGGCCTAAATGCCACCCAATTTAATTTCAATGCCTCCTCTTCTTCGGCGGCGGCGGCGGCATCTGTGCCCCTAAATGCCTCCTATGCCCCACAGCGGAACTATGATGCCTACATGCAAATTGTCTCCTCCAGCTCAACAATATCCGAGGCAGAGGTGGCCAGCAGTTCCATCAGCTACTGCGAGGAAGACTGGCCCACGGAGCGATATCGCAAGGTCTTCGGCTCGGTCACCACAATTCTGCAATTCGTATTGCCTTTCATCATCATTTCCATCTGCTATATCTGGATATCCTTTAAGCTGAATGCCCGGGCCAAGGCCAAGCCCGGCTCCAAGTCATCGCGCAAAGAGGAGGCCGATCGGGATCGCAAGAAACGCACCAATCGCATGCTTATAGCCATGGTGGGGGTGTTTGGCCTCTCCTGGCTGCCGCTAAATGTGGTCAACATTTTTGACGACTTCTATGAGAAATCGAATGAATGGCGTTTCTATACCCTGTTCTTCTTTGTGGCCCATTCCATTGCCATGTCCTCCACGTGTTACAACCCCTTCCTCTATGCCTGGCTAAATGAGAATTTCCGCAAGGAATTCAAACATGTACTGCCCTGTTTCAATCCCTCCAACAACAACATCATCAACATCACCCGAGGCTACAATCGTTCCGATCGCAACACCTGCGGCCCCCGGCTGCATCATGGTAATGGAGGTGCCGCCACCCGAGGTAGTAGTCTGGAAAACGATGAACACGACGATGGTAATGCCATAACCCAGGACACCACCCTAACCACCAAGGATAAGTTGTTAATCATACCGCGAGAACCCACCTATGGCAATGGCCACAATGCCCTCTCCCCGTGCCTGGATCGTGGTGTCAATGTGGCACTGGTCCAGTGCAGCAAACAGGTGGAAATCCTGCTGAATGATAATGACATACGGAATCATCGTTACGATGACTTCGACAACGAGTCGTGTGAGGAACAAACGATTGAGATGCGTTTCAACGAAACACCCTTCATCAGTTCGGACAACAATACCCAGATCAGTATTATGGAGACAAGTACCAGCTGTGAGGCTGAGCGCAGTGGCGGTGGCAGCAGTGAGCGCATGCAGCGAAGTAACTGAGGAAGGGTGAGTTAAAGAAAATACCTTTGAAAATGGCACTGAATAAAAATTCTTCAGCCGAAGAGTTTTTCCTATAGAAAATTTGTTCTCAGGCCCCTGAGAACAGTTTTTTCTATACAAAAAAATTTCTCAGGTACCAGAAAAAAATTTCTCAGGTTTTTCGATAGAAAAAAATTAGGCCCCTGAGAACAGTTTTTCAATAAAAAAAAAATTCTCAGTTCTCTGAGAACAGTTTTTTCCGTAGAAAAAAATTTTCAAGTCGCTGAGAACCGTTTTTTAATTAAAAACAATTCTCTGGTTTCTGAGAACATTTTTTTCTATAGAAATTGCAGGACCTTGAGAAAAATTGTTCCGATAGAAAAAAATCTCAGGTATCTGAGAAAAGTTTTTTTCGATAGAAAAAATTTCTCAGATCCCTGTAAGGAGTTTTTTTCGAAAGAAAATTGTTTTCTTAGGTCCCTGAGAAGAGTTTTTTTCTATAGAAATTTTTTTTCGGGTAGCTGAGAAGAGTTTTCTCAAGTCCCTCAGAATAGTTCTTTGTAACGCAAAAAATTTCCTCCGGACCATGAGAAGAGTTCTTCCTATAGAAAAAAATGTATCATGTCCCTGAGGTAGGTTTTCTTTTTTTTTTCAATATAAAAAATTCCTAAGGTCCCTAAGAAGAGATTTTTCTAAAGAAAATTTTCTCTCAGGTACCTGAGAACAGATTTTTTCTGTAGAAAAAATTTTCTCAATTCCTACAGAACAGATTTTTCTATAGAAAAAATATCCTCAGGTCCCTGATGTGGGTTTTTTTCTATAGAAAATTTTTTCTCAGGTCCCTGAGAAGAGTTTTTTTCTATAGAAAATTTTTTCTCAGGTCCCTGAGAAGAGTTTTTTTCTATAGAAAATTTTTTCTCAGGTCCCTGAGAAGAGTTTTTTTCTATAGAAAATTTTTTCTCAGGTCCCTGAGAAGAGTTTTTTCTATAGAAAGTTTTTTCTCAGGTCCCTGAGAAGAGTTTTTTCTATAGAAAGTTTTTTCTCAGGTCCCTGAGAAGAGTTTTTTCTATAGAAAAATTTTTCTCAGGTCCCTGAGAAGAGTTTTTTCTATAGAAAATTTTTTCTCAGGTCCCTGAGAAGAGTTTTTTCTATAGAAAAAATTTCCTCAGGTCCCTGAGGTGTGTTTTTTCTATAGAAAATTTTTTCTCAGATCCCTGAGAAGAGTTTTTTCTATAGAAATTTTTTTCTCAGGTCCCTGAGAAGAGTTCTTTCTTTAGAAAATTTTTTCTCAGGTCCCTGAGAAGAGTTTTTTCTATAGAAAATTTTTTCTCAGGTCCCTGAGAAGAGTTCTTTCTTTAGAAAATTTTTTCTCAGGTCCCTGAGAAGATTTTTTTCTATAGAAAATTATTTCTCAGGTCCCTGAGAAGATTTTTTTCTATAGACAATTTTTTCTGAGTTCACTGAGAAGAGTTTTTTCTATAGAAAATTTTTTCTCAGGTCCCTGAGTTGAGTTTTTTCTTTAGCAAAAAATTTCCTCAGGTCCCTGAGGTGGGTTTTTTTTATAAAAAAATTTTTGCAGTTCCTAAATTGGGGTTTTTCTGTAGATGTATGTAGATTATGTATTCCTCATGTATTTTCCGAACTTTTCCTTAACATTTTTTTTTCGGAAAACTTTGCCCTTTCATTTGTCAAAGGTCATTGTGGATTTTTCTGTTCAAAACTATTTGCTGTAAATTAGAAAAATAACAATACCATAACAAAAAAGTTTTTGTTAAAAGTAAAACAAAAGCTTGAAAAATCTGCGAAAATGACCTTCTTTTGCAATTTGAAAATATCTCCTGAAATAAAACCCAAGAGATGGGGAGGATGGATTGAATCAATCCTCCCACAAGTCCTTAGAGATTTGCTGGCAACCACCGCAACTGCAGTCCCCAAACAACTAATGTTGAATTTTTCAGTTCATTGTTGATGCTGTAAAACCCAGCTCACGTTGCATGGGAAAAAGTTTCCACCTCTCCCTCTTTTCTATCGTCTCTCTTGTTGGGTAATATCAAACCATGGTAGGTACTTTGCAGTTGCTTAAAAATGCAGCTGCATTTGATGGCGTTTTATGCAAACGTGATCGAAATTTAAGCGAACTTTAAGCACTCTCAAATTACTAATGCTGCTCTTGTAGCGGCCTCTGCCACCGCTGCTGCCGCTTTGTTGCAACAAGTTTTAAGGACCTGCTAGGAGCATGCCAAAAATGCCACAATGTGGCAAGTAGATTGCATAAATGTGTTGTGTATCGGTGGTGGGTGGCAAGGCTAGGAGGGTTATATCCTTCCCCTCTCCTCCCCTTTCCAACCCTCTCTCTCCCTCTCACTCTCTCGTTCTCTGTGAAGATAGTAGATCCGAAATTGTATACATTTTTCGTTACAGCTGCAAATGAAATATGAAGCAATAATAAATCACATTTTTCTGTTAGGAGGGGGGGGGGGGGTGGTGGGGTGGGAAGAGGAGATCCTTGTTGTAGCAAATGTAAAATTCCACAGTAGTTATGGCTTTTCAGATAAATATTTGTTTACTTTTTTTTGTATATCCTTTTTTCTCATCTCTCTCCCCGTATATCATAGCCAGTATCTTGTATATATGTATTGGTGTAGCCCATACAAAAATCAGTGATGAACTTTTATTATCTGAAATAGTCTTCCAACCACCATCTATGTGTGTGTAGGACTCATATGTCCTAGTTTATGATGGAAGATCCATGCCTGGCCACAATATTCCAATTTATGAAAACCTTTTCAAAGCTTTCATAATGGCAACTTGTTTTTTTTATGGGTTACGAGAAATAACTTCATTTCGATGTGGCCACAGAAATCTCATCCGAACCACTCATGACAAATGTGTAAGTGTGTGTGTGAGTGAGTGTTGAAATAGTACCGGATGTTAAGTGATTTTGTTACGGCAACAACAAAACGCAATATCAACATCGGAAGCAACAAATTCTCCTGCTTCTTCTTTTTCGTTTCAGCACAAGTGATTGATAACAGCAGTCGGAAGCGAGTAACACATAAAAATGATTGCATTTTAGCTCGCAACAAAATATGGCTTGGAGAGAGGGAGTGAGCGAGCTTCCTACCTCCTGCCACCATTCCTTTGCTATGCTGGCTGGTTGGTTAAGTATTTTCCGTTCATTCGTGCATTCAGTTCGCACTTACCGGAATGAAATACTGTGGTTTCGGGCACCAAACACTCAACTTAAGGGGGAGGTATAGCAGAAAACAAAAAACGACAAAAATTCCCTTAGTTTTTATTTTCATTTTAATTGAAAAACTTTTAGGAACTCTTTCCTAGACACACGAAACTTAAACGACCCAAAAAGGTATTGGATGGGGGGGTTAAAATGGCACAAAGAAATATGTGTGTTCATTAAGTTCTTTCCGGTGGGGAAACGGAATAAAATGAAATATGGCTGGCAAATAAATGCAATATAAAATCTAAGAAAATAAGTTCGGAAAATATTTCTAAGAGAAGATTTTATGAGAAACCTTTTCTACGGAAAAACTCACCTCAGAGTGCTGGGGACATTTTTTCTATAGAAAAGAACTCGCCTTTCGGGACCTTAGAACTCTTTTTTATAGAAAAACTGTCCTCAGGGACCTGAGGATTTTTTTCTATAGAAAAAACTGTTCTCAGGGACCTGAGGACATATAGAAAAAACTGTTATCAGGGAACTGAGAAAAATTTTTCTATAGAAAAAACCCTTCTCAGTGAACTGAGAAAATTTTTTCTCAGTAAACTGAGAAAATTTTTTCTATAGAAAAAACTCTTCTCAGTGAGCTGTGAAAAATTTTTCTATAGAAAAAACTGTTCTCAAGGACCTGAGACAAATTTTTCTATAGAAAAAACTCTTCTCAGTGAACTAAGAACATTTTTTCTATAGAAAAAACTCTTCTCAGGAACCTGAGAAAATATTTTCTATAGAAAAAACTCTTCTCAGGAACCTGAGAAAATTTTTTCTATAGAAAAAACGATTCTCAGGGACCTAAGAAATTTTTTTCTATAGAAAAAACTATTTTCAGGGACCTGAGAATTTTTTTTCTATAGAAACAGCTATTCTCAGGGACCTGAGAAATTTTTTTCTCTAGCAAAAAACTGTTCTCAGCGACATGAGAAAATTTTTTTACAGAAAAAACTCTTCTCAGAGACCTGAGAAAAAATTTCCTATAGAAAAAACTTTTCTCAGGGACCTAAGGAAACCTTTTCTAAGGAAACAACTGAGATCAGTGAACTGAAAAGATTTTTTCTATGAAATAACTCTTCTCAGGGATCTGAGAAAATGTTTTCTACAGAAAAAAATCTGCTCAGGAACCTGAGAAATTTTTTTCTATAGAAAAAACTCTGCTCAGGAACTTGAGAAATTTTTTTCTATGGAAAAAACTCTTCTCAGGGGTCTGAGAATTTTTTTCTATAGAAAAAAACTCTTCTCAGGGACCTGAGAAAAAATTTTCTATAGAAAAAACCCACCTCAGGGACCTGAGAAATTTTTTTTCTATAGAAAAAACTCTTCTCAGGGACCTGAGAATTTTTTTTTTCTATAGAAAAAACTCTGCTCAGTGAACTGAGAAAAATTTTTCTATAGAAAAAACTCTTCTCAGTGAACTGAGAAAAATTTTTCTATAGAAAAAACTCTTCTCAGTGAACTGAGAAAAATTTTTCTATAGAAAAAACTCTTCTCAGGGAACTGAGAAAATTTTTTATAGATAAAACTCTTCTCAGGGACCTGAGAAAAATTTTTCTATAGAAAAAACTCTTCTCAGGGACCTGAGAAAAAATTTTCTATAGAAAATCCTGTTCTCAGGGGCTTGAGAAAAAAATTTTCTATAGAAAATCCTGTTCTCAGTGGCCTGAGAAAAAATTTTCTATAGAAAATCCTGTTCTCAGGGGCCTGAGAAAAAATTTTCTATAGAAAATCCTGTTCTCAGGGGCCTGAGAAAAAATTTTCTATAGAAAATCCTGTTCTCGGGGCCTGAGAAAAAATT